TTAATTTTAATTTTTTGGTACCAGGGATTGAACTCGGGTCCTTGAGTTAGCCACTTTTATTTTTAAGTTAAACAAAAATTTTTTTTATACCTGGAATTGAACTCGTGACCTTGCACTAGCGAGGCAGGTGGTGGAACCACTGAACTAAATCCCTGGCCGTTTTTATTTTTTATTTTGAGACAGGGTCTCACCAAGGCTAGCCCATTGCGATCCTCCTGCCTCACCCTCTGGAGCAGTTAGGTAGTGTGTGCTACCACACCCAGCTTCACTTGTATTTTAAGAGTATGTATTCTCCTTGGCTCCCTGTCCTTACACACCAGAAAGCTCATTATATTTTTATGTCATTCCTCTGTTCGGAAAGTCCTGATAGCTTCCCTTGTTATGTCCTCTTCCAACTGTTTTACTACAAGCTTTACTCTGCTTAGAATTTAACCTGTACATTTGTACACCTCAAGGCTTTTTGAGCTTTAGATGCTTATACTGAGCCAGTACTTTATTTTCATTACCTTCTTTACTCCTTAGAGTTGCCCCTTGAGGGTAGGTATAGATTGCAAGCTCCATGAGAGAAGAGTGCTCTAACCCTTGGACAGCTGATGCTTCCCCCCATTAAGAGATATTCAAAAATGTTTGACACATGAGAGAGATTTCTTATTTTACTATTAGAGAGACAGGCTCAAAAGCTCAGGCATAAGTCATGACCTCATTGGTACTGCCTCCTGGGGTAGGATTTTAGTCTGACTTTTATGATTCTTCTGACCCATCTCTCCATTTTACTTTTTATTTCTCAGTCTCTCTGTTTAAGAGAGATTGTGCAATTCATTTGTCCCAAATATACCTTATGTTTTCTTACTTCTGCACCTTGGCTTATGCTGTTTTTTGTTCTTATTTTGGCTTCTCATTTTCAAAGTTTTATTTACATTTTAGAATTTTTTTTGCTTTGTTTTGTTTTTTGAGACAGGGTCTCACTATGTAGTTGAGTCTGACCTGGAACTCACTATGTAGCTCGAACTCCCAGCAATCCTCCTGCCTCAGCCTCCCGAGTGCTGGGATTACAGGCGTGAGCCACCACACCCGGCACATTTTTAGAATTTTTTAAAATGCTGCTGGACATTAACACATGTTCAGCAAGCTCACCACTGAGCTGCATCTCCAGCCCTCAGTCTGGTTTTAATTCATCCTGTCAGTGAACTTTGTCCTGAATAATCTCTGTGTCTCATGGTTTTGATGCCCACCTTGGTCGTTTGGGACATCTGTTGTTGCCTTGTGTGTTACTTCTTCAGCGAAGTGAGTTGGTTCTTCTTTGCAGGGCTTGGCTGGATGGATGCTGCTCTGAAGTGTGGACTGTGACTGACCCTCTGTTCATTCTGTCCTCCCTAGCAGTAGGGCTCCCTAGCGGTACTCTAGGAACAGCTGGGCTTGCCTGTCTGTTTCTAGAACGGCCACATAGACAAAATTTGCTGTGTTTCATTTTGCTGACTTGGATTTTTTTTTTTTTTTTTTTTGAGAAGATCTAGCTAAATTGCCCAGGCTGGCTGGGTTTAACCTTTCGATCTTCCCACCCTAGTCTCTCAGAGTGCTGAGGCACAGGCATGTGCCGTCATTCCTGGCTCTGTCTCTCACATTTTAGTTATTCTCTATCTCCCTTTTCATGTGTTTAGTCCCTACTTTGCTGTCATCCTGTGATCCAAAGCTTTTGTGGCCTCAGGCTGTTAATCTTTCCTCTCCTAGCCAGTACTTCACCATTTGCATTTTTAGAAATTGCTTTTTTTGTGGGACAGGGTGCACCAGGGATGGAACTCAGGACTTTGTGCTTGAGAGGCAGGCATGGTGCCACTGAGCTAAATCTGTGGCCCTGAAATTGCTTTTTTAAAAACCTACACCAAAGTGGGATCAGCTGAGTAAGGGAGCAGGACTGTCTGGAATGTGTATCTCTCTCTAGGTTTGTCTTTTTATATTTAATTACAGAGGTTTTAAACTAGAAGTAATACATTCTTATTGTGATGTGATTCACACATAAATATAAAAAATGTTGATTACTGCCCATTTTACTTTAGTCCCAACTATTCCAGGTAACCCACATTAATAGATTGGTATTATCCTAACACATGTTTCTGGGTGCCTTGTTGGTCATTGCATATATTCTTTGGAAGACAAGAATAAATCCTTTAGGGCTGGGGATTTAGCTCGGTGGTGCCACCGCCTGCCTCACAAGTGGAAAGTCCCGAGTTTGAGCCCTGGTACCAAAAAAAAAAAAAAATGCAAATCTTTTGCTCACTTTTACTTTTTTTTTTTTGAGATGAATATGCTGCCCAGGCTGGCCTTGAATCTTTGTGCTCGAGTGCTTATTTTGTCCTAGCCTCTTGAGTAGCTGAGACTCCAGGCATGTGCTATTATGCCAGACTTCTTGCTAACTTGTTTTTTGGGGGTTCCAGTAATCGAACTCGCCAGGCAGGCATAGTGCTGCTGAGCTACATCCCTGGCCCCATTCTTGCTAACTTCTTACTGAGTTCTTAGAGTTTTGCATATATGGGCTGTGAGTCCCTTATATCAGATACTGTATATGATGTAAAAATATTTTATCTCATCCTATGAATTGTCTTTTCACTTTCTCAGTAGTATGTTTTTTGACCCTGGAGTTTTTACATAATCAATATAATACAGTGTTTGTATGTTTTTCTTTTGTTACATTTCCTTTGTGGTCATATCCAAGAAACCATTGCTTTCCTCAATGGATTCTAAAAGTTTCAATTTTTTTTATTTGGGTCTGTGATCCATTTGAGTTAGTTTTTATGTATGGTATGACGTAGGGGTCAAACTTCATTCTTTTTTATGTGAATATCCAATTGTCCAGCATCATTTGTTGGGGGAAAAAAAAGATTCTGCTGTGAATTGTCTCGTTTCCCATTGTCCAAAATCAGTTGACATAAATGTTAGGGTTTCTATCTGCACTCTAAATGCTGTTCCCTTGATCTATATGTTTATCCTTATGCCAGTGCCACACATTGTTGATTATTGGAGCTTTGTGTAATAAGTTTTAAAATCATTTTTTCTTTTTGTTTTTTGTTTGGTAGTACTAGGAATTAAACCCAGGGCCTTTGTGCCGAGTTGCATCCCCAGGCCTTTTTTACTTTGAGACTGTCTCCCTGAGTTGCTCAGGCTTGGCTAAGTTTATAGTCCTCTTTCCTCAGCCTGCCAACGTGCTGGGCTTACAGGTGTGCTGCTACCCCAGCTCTGTCGGTAATTTTTGTGTGAAATCTGTTTTCCTGAACTTCAAAAGTGTCAGGATACTTTTCAGCCTCATAGTTCTGGAGCTCCCTCTTCTGTGATTTTCGTGAAATGTGTTAAAAATAGAATTTAATGGTTTCTGAGATGTGGTGGTTCTTTTTGCATTTTTTTGTTGTTGTTGTTCATTTGTTTTTCTCTTTTATGAATTTTAGGGATGGTCTTTGCTTCTGGTATGCATATACTTAACAGAGACAAAAAAAGAAAAACACTAGTTCCTGGTCCTGCTGTTCACATAACCCCTTTTTTGGGGTGGGGTTTGGGGATTGAACTCAGGACCTTGTGCTTGTGATGCAGGCTGAAGCACACCTGAGCTAACTCCCCAGCTCTGTATAACCTGAATTGACAATTATTATAAATAGTTAATGTACTGTATTTGAGGTCATCAACAGTTAAATAAAGTGAAAGTCTTTCCCCCATTCTTGTCTATTAAAAGCCTCAAGAGCCGGGAATGTAGCTCAGTGGTTCCATGGCCTGCCTTGCAAGCGCAAGGTCCTGTGTTTGATCCCTGGTACCAAAAAATAAATAAATAAATAATAAAAGCTTCAAGAAAGTCCTTTCAGGGATAACCAGTATACATTTATCAGAACATAATGTAATTGTTTTCTTCTTTGTGGTACTAAGGATCAAACCTAAGGCCTTGCTGATTTTGGGCATGTGCTCTACCAGTTGTATTCTTTGTTTTGAGATGGTGGCTGGTCTTTTTTTTTTTTTGTTTTTTTGAGACAGGGTCTCACTATGTAGTTGAGACTGACCTGGAACTCACTATGTAGCCCAGGCTGGTCTGAACTCACAGTGATCCTCCTGCCAGTGCTGGGATTACAGGCGTGCCCACCACGCCCGGCCCCAGGATGGTTTTAAACTCACTGTGTAGTCAGGGCTGGCTTTAAACTCAGGGCAATCCTCTTGCCTCAGCCTCCCAAGTACTGGGACTATAGATATGTGTCGTTATACCTGGTCCAATTAAATTCTTAAAAGGGCTGGGGATTTAGCTCAGTGGTACCTGCACCTGCCTCACAAGCACAAGGTCCTGAGTTCAGTTCCCAGTACCAAAAACAAAATAAAAGTAAATATATGTACGAACTGTTTTTGAATTTATTTTCTGTTTAATATATTTGAGATATTTTAAATTTGGGAATGAATGTCAGCTGAAGAATTTTCTTACTGCTTTTTAGTTACATTCTTGGACTGAGATTGTAGCTCAGTGGTAAAGCTCTTGCCTAACATGTATGAAGACCTGGCTTTAATCCTCAGGACCATAATACAAACAAAATCTTAGACTTTTGAAGTAATTTAGGGAGTGGGCCTTCTTCTTTCCTGGCAGTTCACCTTTCTTGTGAGAAAGTCAGGCCTTACGTGTGGTTTGGGAAGGGAGCCAGGGCCAGCTGCGGGCAGTTTTGCCAAGCTCAGCCTCCATCCCTTGGAGACTAATGTTTGCAGTTGCCCCTTGTATAATTATCAATCCTGTCAGTGTGCCTGTGTCTAATGACCTTTATGCAAGGAGTTTATCCCATGTGTTGCTGCCTCCCACCTGTCCCCAGTTCTCTTGCCTCTGGTCACGGGGGTGTTTGAGGTGACCTGCTTTTCAGGGACTTGGGTAACAGATGCCCAGTGTGTATCCTCCCTGTCACTCAGCGTGCGTGCTCACAAGTTCTTTCCTGATGCTGAGCGGGCCATACTGACGAGGCCTTGAGAGACTTGTGTTTTCTTCCCTCCAGGGGAACCAGGAAGTGGGACAGAAAGCGATACTTCTCCAGACTTCCATAATCAGGAAAACGAGCCCAGCCAGGAGGACCCAGAGGATCTGGATGGATCTGTTCAGGGAGTGAAACCTCAGAAGGCTGCTTCTTCCACTTCCTCAGGGAGTCATCATAGCAGCCATAAAAAACGAAAGAATAAAAACCGGCACAGGTCAGTTGCAGGGACCCCACCCCCACAGCTCCGATGACTGTGGGTGTAAAGGGACCGTCCTGGAACCAGAACGCTTCAGGATGGACAGAAATTCCTTTGCTCCAAATGAAACCATCTAATGTTTTAAGGGAGGAGTTGGTGGGCAATAAAGTAAGCCTGAAGGGGGACTTCAGGACATCTTTCCACTGTTGCTAGTGCAGAACCCTAACCCTGACCCCAAGAACATAGTTTAATGTTGTGAATTTGGAGTCCTTTCAGAAGAGAGAAAGGGGAAATAGAAATGGAATCTGTGTAATAGTATCTGCTAAATGACACTAGTGTGTATTGGGTAAAGTGGGATAGTCTTTTGCTCTTACTCCTGATCCCTGCCTGCTCTTATGAGAATTGATTTAATGTGCCTTTAAAAAAATTTTTAAATACAAGCTTTTGGATCACTTATGATTCTTGTGTTTTTATAGTTCTCCGCAATGTGCTGACTTCAAATACTGAGAAACAATACAAAACCTATAAAATGTGAGAGTGCCTTCCTAGATAACGTTTGTCCACCATGTTTTTTGCAGTGCCTAATGAGATAGGAAGGACATCAGTGGACCAAGAGGTCAGGTGTCACCCAGAGTGGATTTTAGAATTCACTTTGCCTGGGGTTTGTATGATAATGCCAGAGGCTGTGAACTCAGATAATTGTGTGACTTCTATGACATCATTGCAAGAGGGTAATGCATCATTTCTGGAGTCTGGAATCTTGTCCTGGCTACAAGCCCAAGAGGCATGGAAATGGGTTTTTCTCATCTGGCTCTTGTCCTGCTTGCCGTGGAAGCCTGCATGCTGAAGAGGTGAAGGGACATGCCAGGGATGGGCTGTGCTCCTGTCTTCTAGTTTGCTTCTAGTTTTTGTTTCAGGAACCTGTAGAGCCGAGTGTGGTGGCGCACACCTGTAAGCCCAGCACTTGAGAGGCTGAGGCAGGAGGATCATCATGAGTTTGAGGGCAGCCAGGGCTACATAGTGAGTTGAAGGGCAGCCTTAACTACATAGTGAGACCCTGTCTCAAAATAAATAAAAAAACAAGTCGGGCATGGTGCACACACCTGTAATCCCAGCACTCAGGAGACTGATGCAGGAGAATCACCATGAGTTCGAGGCCAGCCTGGGCTACATAGTGAGTTCAAGGTCAGCCTGAGCTACACAGTGAGACCCTGTCTCAAAAAACAAAACAAAAACCCCAAACAAATTAGAAAAGAAACTTGTAGGAGATTCCTTCATGCATCAAGGTATTAAAACTGTTAGCTTTAAGGATTTGGGATGGGGATGATGTAGAATTAAATCTTACCAGTTTGAACCTCCGTCATTAATTGATTCTAAGAACTTTTCTTGCTGATGGTAATGGTGTTTTTTTTTTCTTTTTGACTGCAGAAATAATATTTCCTCCAAACAGTGACAAAGAACTGCCGCTTAACATTTTTCTGCACATCAAAAGTCACCATGTTAATCTCAAAACTGTAGTAAGAAATAACAAAAATTGCTTTTTTCTTTCTTTCTGGTGATGGTGGGGATAAGGCTCAAGGTTATTTGACCAACATGTTGGAATCGGTGCTAACTTATCACTAACAGCAGAAAATCATTTTCTGAAAAAAATATTTAATTTAATTTTAAAACTTTGTTTTGAGTGTTGGGAATCAAACCCAGGGTTCCTACATGCTTGGCAAGCACTCTACTGTATATACCCAGCCCCTTAAAAAATACTTTTAAGAATTGTCAGAAGAAGGAAATGTTGTGTTCTGTGTTGCCAGTGTTGTTTTAAGTAATGGCTGCTTTCCTGTTTCAGGGTGTCTAGAGTAGGGAGAAAATTCCTTGAAAGTGTCTGGGACTTTTTCCAGTACTGATCAATATACAGTACTCTCTAGGTAGCTGTCTATTTCAGATAATACCTCATTTTCACTAATGATGTGATCAACTGGTTAATAAAAAGGAGCATTAAATGTACCTTTTTTTCTTGCAGGTTTCTAGTAAGTTTCATTAAAAAAATGCTTCCTTACTCTTTCCTCTCCTGGCCCTGGGAACAAATGAACCCCTTCCATAAAAACATTCGTATTTCTAAAGACTTTTGGTGTTACTGCTTTCCCAAATGGTGTTTTCTTTTTTTTGGTACTGGGGATTGAATTTGGGACCTCGTGCTTGCAAAGCAGATGGCGACACCACTGAACTAAATCCCTGGCCCAAGCCTGAGCTTTTTAATTCCAGCTTTGTACACTTACTGTTTCCTGAGGATATTGAAGTTAAGCTTTCTTCCAACTTCACACCTGCATACATTATCTAGGAGGCAAATGCAATCGTTTACACAGTGCTTTACCTCCTGTCTGCAGTTGGAAAGGGCCTGAAGCCAGCCGAGGCGTCGGGGTCACACCCAGGGTTGGTGTTTGCTTTGGGTGTCTGCCCAGACCGTGATCTGTCAGCAGGGATGGCAGCAAATTGTGCTCCTCTGTGCCTGCTCCCCTCCAGATCCTTGGGGTATGGGTGCTTGGTGGGGGCAGCTTTCTTTTCTGTTAACAGGGCCTCGCAGATTTGGGTATTTCTCTAGACAGTTGACTGCCTGGTGTCCCCACCTCAGTGGGCCGAGTAACCCTGCTCTTTGGATTTTGGAACACGACTCCACCGCTCAAATTTATTCATTCAGCTTTGGCTTCTAGGGTGGATGCTGTAGCAAAAAGCAGCACGTTCCTGGGCACTTTAGAACATAAAATGCCAGTAAAATTACCAAATGTTTATCTGCTCTTAAAATTTGAAATGTTTTTGTCCTTTATTTTATTAGTGAAAGTACCATGCTGAGTTATACTAAACCTTTCTTCCTCTGTGTCTTCTAATGTCCTTGTGACATTTTTCAGTGCAACTATTTTAAAGGTTCCAGCTCTGAAACTGGAAGCTAATAAAAGGGATGCAGTTACTTGTAGTTTTCTAATGAGATAACTTTTCCTTGCATAGTCTGTTCTTTTCCTATGGAATTCATTGAGGGAAGGGCATCTCCTAACCACAGAATCTTTGGTGCTTTGATGTTCAAAACTATGGCTTAAAATTCTTAAAACTGATTTTATTCCTACAAATCTTGCTAGGGTGGCTAATCGACTAATTTGTTCAATTAGTGTATTAATTTCTGTTGCTTTCTTCCTTTCAAATGCTGCCCCTCAGCCCGTCTGGCATGTTTGATTATGACTTTGAGTAAGTTTGATTTGAATTAGTATTTGTGCTGTGTTGTTTAGTGTGTAGACACCAGTATGCCTTTTTGAGACCTTTCTAACCCATAGTTTATCTGTTTAATTGTAGGTATATATATTAGGTTAGGCTGGGAAGTTTTTTTTAAAAAAAGAAAAACGTGATGGAGGTAACATTTTATTTAATAACTTAAGCAAAATTAAGTAAACTTCACTTATGCATTTTAATTTCTTTAAAAATAGATAACCTTTAATTCATATTTAAATTGATTTTCTGACTTTGCTTCATAAAGAGATTAACAGTTTTAAGGTTTTGATATTTTGCTTTGGAAACATTTAAAAATTGAAACTCATTAATTTTCTTTGTGTTTCATGTCCAGAAATACAACTCCTAGTCTCTTTCCTGCTCTTAATCACCATATATTTCAGTAATTTCTAGTGATATAGTTACAGAGCTAACATTTAACATAGAGCATGCCCTCTTAATGCAGTCTCCTTAACATGTAATTTTGGAAGACTTTTTTAAAAAGTATATGACTTTGTAACTGCTATACATTTCTTTTTGAGTCATCCAAGTTTGCCCTAAGACTAAGTATCTGCTCATATTTTTTAATACCTGCTTAGTAATACCTGGTAAACAACTAAATAAGACACAGTCTAATGGAGAATATGGATTTTACTTAACCAGATAGCCTTTGTTATAGCTTGTGCCCTATACAGTAGCTGATTGTTTACCCCTCTTTCTGTAAATTAAAATGCAAATGTCTTTTATCTTTCCTATCACAGGATTGATCTGAAGTTAAACAAAAAACCACGAGCTGTAAGTATCAGTCAGATCACTTGAGAGAGGCTGCAGTTTTGTAGATAATTAGAAAAATGTCTCATCTTCAGAGTTGTAGTGTTCCTAATCTAGGTCACACTTTTGAAGTCTGGTGTGTCTGTCTGTATACATTTTAACTTTCAGATGCTATTTACTCTTTATTTTGGAGAGAGAAACATCACACTTTCTGGAGTTTGTTTGTTTGTTTCTTTTTTTGGTGCTGGGAATTGAACCCAGGGCCTTTGAACTGAACTATGTCTCTAGCCCTTTTTTAAAATTTTGAAATAGGGTCTTGCTGAATCACTAAGTTGCTCAGGCTGGGCTCAAACTTGTGATCTTCCTGCCTCAGCCTCACAGAATACTGTTATTACAAGCATGCAATGCCGTGCTCAGCAAGAAAATTAATTCCCTTTGATTAAATAATAAATAGTTGCTACTAGCTTGTCTTTCCTTTTTTCCTGGTGAGTTTATGTGGTCTAACAAGAGCAGAATTGATGTTTCGGTGGATGTCTCTATGGACCTTCAGAAGACGGCCCATTTTCAGATGTGAAATATTGTACATTAGATTTGAAATATAATATTTAGCTACAGAAGAATTCCCCAGCCCAGTTAATAGTAGATTTGTGTTTTCCTTAGGGTCAAACCAGTGTTCTGTGGAGAGTAAGTTGGGACTTTTGTTTCTTTCTCTTCAGGACTATTAGAAGACTCATTAGTACAGAAGCGTCCAGGCTGTAGAGCCCTGCTTCCCTTCTCCGACCTCACACAGATAAACATCCCTCATCTGAGTGCGTGGCTGCCCACCTCTGCTCTCCCAGACCCAGTGCCTGTGACTCTGAGTAGTTTGTTCTAAATGTGGCAACAAGTCACTTCTGTAAGAGATTGCATTGTTTGCTTTGTGTGTTTCTTAGACAGCAGAAGTTCAGGGAGACCAAGGCGTGGTTGTGATCCCTGCACATTGCTCTCTGTGCGTTTCTCCTTTGGAATGAGTGTCTCCCCCAAACTGGCCAGCCCCAGCTATGTCTGTGACCCCCCCATTGAGACCTGTCTCGGGTTTTGTATTATGCTGAACGTAGACCACAAGTCACATTTCTGATGTAGGCTGTAAACACCTGGCATTTCTCTTACTTTATTTTGTGTTTCATTATTTTCCTATTGTTGTTTTTACCGTCTTTATTTTCTTCCTGGGACTTTTTGTAATGCCTTTGTACAGCTCATCCCTTCCTGCTGACATATCTAATGATCTGTTTCATGCAGTTGCCAATATTCTTAACTGAAAATAATGTGGTTTACTGTAAGTAAAATGGGAAACTTAGCTCAGTGGTTTTTTGCAGGGGGAAGATAAAGAGTGTTTATTTAATAATTACCCATTTTAAATCTCTCTTGAGTTGGAGGCAGTTTTGTGTTCAAGGGACAGGAGAAGCTGAAAACCGTAAGTTTAAATCAATCCTTAGATATTTTTAAGGGGCTGGGGGTTTAGCTCGGTGGTTCTGCTGCCTGCCTTGCAAACTCAAGGACCTGAGTTCGATCCCTGGTACCAAAAAAAAAAAAAAAAAAGATGTTTTTATTCTTTTGTATAAATAAAATTCATAGGTTTTGGCTTCTCACACTTTACTTTTAAACCTGAGATTTTTTTTCACTTACTTTATTCATATCATGCCTTATGGAAGTATTTTTTTTTTCTGGTATTCACCTGATTAAATATTGCTCCAGAAATCACCAGGGCAACAGAAAGGCTAAAAATTACACCAAGCTGGGTGTGGTGGCACACGCCTGTCATGCCAGCATTTGGAAGGCTGAGGCAGGAGGATCACTGTGAGTTTGAGGCCAGCTTGGGTTACATCATGAGTTAAAAGGCCAGCCTGAGTTACATAGAGCCTGTCTCCAAGAAAAAAGAAAGAAAAGAACACCAAAAACAAAAGAGAACATGTTCTTGAATGAAGTGAAAGATGGTGTGAGAGGGGCCGGGGATTTAGCTCAGTGGCACCGTACGTTCCTCGCAAGTACAAGGTCCTGAGTTCGATCCCTGATACTAAAAACAAAAAATAGTGTGAGAGCCCGCACTACCCAAAAGAACATCCTTCCTTGTGGAGTCACTGGACTGAAGACCATGATGATTGTTACCTGTGTAGTGCCATGGTCACCTGCCTTGGCTGCCCATAGCGATCACTTGGGAAGCCTAAAAGTGCTACTGTCTGGGTGCCACCCCTGAGACTCTAAGGTACTTACTGGGGTTTCCTTCCAGACAGCCCCCAAGAAGCTGATAAGAAGCCAAGTTGAGAATCACTGCATTGGAGACTGATTTGATTTAAATCCTTTGCTGTGAGTCAGTGTTAGGGATAAGGTTTGGGGCCTCATTTTTCCTTGAAGCGTGTTTACCCTTAGTCCTTTACACCCATAGATAGCTTTGTAAGAAGTGTGCCCGTTGTGATGATATTCATAGAGTTGAATACTAGTGGATTCTGTTAGCAGAAAATGTCCATCTTGTCAGATGCACAACAGCTTTCACTCATGTTCACAAGAAAACTTTTTTTAAAAAAAGCTCAATAGGTTTTTTTTTTTTTGGTATCAGAGTATCAATGAGCTAAATCCCTGGCCCAAAACTCTTGACAGTTTGAAATGGCTTTTGCTTTGTTAGTAGAACTTTTTTTTTTTTTTTGGTTTTTTGAGACAGGGTCTCATTATGTAGTTGAGACTGACCTGGAACTCACTTTGTAGCTCAGGCTGGTCTCGAACTCACAGTGATCCTTCTGCCTCAGCCTCCTGAGTGCTAGGATTATAGGCACGCACCACGACGCCTGGCTGTAGCAGAATTCTTAATGTCAAGGTTTTTAAGGAAATAGTTTCTCCTGTGTAAATTGTTTCTTTAAACAAAAGCAAACAAACTCCAGGAGCTTTCTATATTCTTTGTCAATTTGTCCCCTTTTCTGGAAGGAAGGACTAGGATTCTGGGCTTTCCTTGACTCAGAAAAGCACCCAACAGACCTTAAAATACCTCAGCCACTCATAGTTTGGCATTTGCTGGATACATTTGCTCTTTAATAACAGGTGTTACTTCTGGTCATGGTGGCACATGCCTGGGTTCTTAGCGCACAGGAGGCTGAGGCAGGATTGCATAGTCAAGGCCAGCCTGGGCCACATTGCAAGTTCAAGGCCAGCCTAGATTACATAGTGAGACCTTGTCTCAGAACAAAATAGGTGTTTATTTATTATTGCAGTGCTCCGTATCAAATCCAGGCCTTTGTCATGCTAGACAGGTACTCTGCTGCTTAGCTGTACCTTCAGTCCCTGAAGGTATATTATTCAGAAGCCTATCTTCCATGTGTGAAATCATGGTTAGGGACAGGCTACTTGGTTTATACTTATTTTCCCTATAAAATGTAACAACTGATTAGGGGATCTTGCAATTTCCCTATTAGTTGTAAGTTGGCTGGGGATCCTGGAGGTAGTCAGATCTTTGCTGGGGGAGGAGGATACCTAGGGATTGAACCCACAAAGCCAAATTAGCCCTTTTAAAAATTTGAGACAGCCTCTCACTAAGTTGATAAATTGCCCACTTTGGGCTTGAATTTGCAGTCCTCCTGCTCCAGCCTCCCAGAGTGCTGGGATTGCAGCGTTGTACCATCCTACCTGCAAGTAGTCAAGTTGTAAGATATTGCTTAGTTTCCCTACATAGGGTCCTTTAGAAAATTGGACCAGTGGTTCCCTGCCTGCCACTTACCATGCTTGTGATGCTGAGCTTTGATTATCAAGTAAGTTTGCTTAACGTAAGATTAGGATGAGGTGATTACTTGGATCAAGTTATTTATTAAAAAAATGGTGCTACCCAGTTGTAGAGGCTCACACACCTGTAATCCCAGCACTCAGGAAGTAGAGACAGGATCCCTAGTCCAGAGCAGCCTGGGCAATTTAGACTCTCAAAGGAAGGCAGGAAGTGGGGAGAAAAGGAGGGAGGAAAGGCTATACTGGCTGAGGACAGTGTTGTTAGAGTTAACCCACTGGGTGGCCTGTATCCTCCCGTCTTGACCAGCATGCTAGCAATTCCCGAGTTGAAGTAGCCGCCAGCACCCCTAAGAAAGTGCTTGCTTCTGGGCCTGTCATCACTGGATCACTTGGGTTTGCAACAGTGCTTTGTTATATGTTATAGGGACAGAAAATGAATCGGTTTAAAGAACTAGAGTCACCCAAAGAGATTGATTCCTGGGATATGGGCCCTTTTCCCTTCTAATCCCGAGGGACTCATATTTGTTCATTTCTACCATCTAGGGATATTTGCTGTTCTGTACTTTATCTTTCTCCATTCTTGGGACTAGGTTGTCCGTTGCTCCTTTTGATAGTTACGAGAGATTAGGAAGAAAAAGAAAAGCCCAGGACTGCAACCTGCCCCCCCACCCCCTTTGGTACTGGAGATCAAACTTGTGAGCTTGTGCTTGCGAGGCAGGCGTGGTGCCACTGAGCTAAATCCCCAGCCTCAGCCCCTTTCTGCTAATATTCTTTGCCCTGTACTGGAAAGGTGGTGTTCGTAAAAAGCTTCGCGGGGTCTTGGATGGATTCTTCCCAGGACTGAGGATGTATCTTTTTAGACGCACAATGTTCGAAACACCATCAGACCCTCCGAGGTGAGGTGGAGAGCGAGGGGGAACAACCCACAGAGTAGACTGGAGTCATCAGATCCTAGAGGAGGACCTGTAGGGAAGCTGGCGGTGGGCAAGGCCAGGATGGGCTGCTGTGCTCCACGGGAGGGGCCGTCTGTTGTAGGGCTTTGAAGTGACCGAAGCAGTCATCAGTCCTTACGGGTGTTAAACAGTTCCCCATAACTGAGTTTAAGTTGTTTGTTTAGAAGAAAATCCTCATTCTCAAAGAGTAGAAAGCAGGCATTAGAATTATTTCCACCTCCAACCCTGAGCTTTTGGGTGCTGGGTGCTGTTAAGTACTCTATTTTGTAGAGTCATCTTGCCATCACCACCTCTGGTAAGAGAATTGAAATAAGTGTTAAGTAGCTTTTATTATTGGTACCAGGGATTGAACTCAGGACCTTGTGCTTGCCAGGCAGGCATTGTGCCGCTGAGCTAAATCCCTGGCCTTTAAATAGCCTATTCTTGAATTCTTGAAAGTTTCTTTTTTTTTTTTTTTGGACCAGGGATTGAACTTGGGCTTTTGCGCTTGTGAGGCAGGCGCTGGAACCACTGAGCTAAATCCCTGGCCCACTGAGCTAAATCCCTGGCCCGTAGTTTTGTTTTTGAGACAGTCTCACTCTGTAATTTAGGCTGGCTTTGGACTCAACTATATAGTCAAGGTTGGCCTTGAACTCATGACAGCCCTGCCTCAGCCTCCTGAGTGCTGGGATTATAGGCGTGAGCCACCATATCTGGCCTTGGGTGGTGTTTTGAAACTCTTACATTTTTGCATTTATGCAGACTTCTCTGACCCTCCATGTTATTCCAACTTTCGGAGGCATTGTTATGTTTAAACATTCAAACCTTAAGCTGAGTGTGATGATGGTCAGCTCAGCTATTTGAGGCTGGGACAGGAGGATCACATAATCCTCCAGCCTGAGCAATTTAGGGAGACCTGTCTCAAAAGTTCTTTTTGGGGGGTCAGGGATTTAGCTCTGTGGTTCCTCCATCTGCCTCGCAAGTGCAAAGACCCGAGTTCGATACCTGGTACCCCCCCCCAAATTATTTTTTTTTAATGTAGGGAGGGTGATAGTGCTGGCATGCAGCTCGGTGCAGGCCACTTGCCTGAGGTGTCTGAGGCTCTGGGTTCAGGTCCTCAGACAGCAAATAAGTAAACATACTTAAATAGAAAATGCTAACTCTGAAGCCCTGACTATATTGTGTGGGGAGGAAAAAGTGCATTTATTTCTCCCACGGAGGTGTCCTGTTAAGTGCCTAGGACAGTGACAGACATTAAAGGTACAGGGATGATGAGATGGAGGGGGTTGGAATTTTGCTTCCTGTGTCATTCAGAACGAGTGCTTTCTGTCTGAATCTTCTAAGTGGTGGGCTTCATGGTTCGAACAGCTTTCCAGTTTGAAAGTGAAAACTGTTAGCCTTTACAGGGCTGTGTCGAGTGGATGCTGGGCCTCACCTAGGGCAGAGTTCTTACGGGAGGGTGTGGGATGGCTGGATGTGAGGAGAAAGGATTCAGCCTTTGACGTGTGTTCGTTTTTGCTCTCAGCCTTACATATCTCTTAACTTCGAATGTGCTTGTGTAATATACATGAATGTTAGTTCATTAGTCCATGTAGATTACTTACGAATATTAAGTTGAACCACAAGAAACTGCTGATATTCACATTGTTTTGATCTATAAAAATGGTAGTTGCCATGGTTTAAAAATAAACTTGTGTGTGTTAGAGGGGTGTATATTCTAAGTTTTTACCGTTCGTGTGCTAGAGTGAACTTTGAGCTGGGCATGGTGGCACACACCTGTAGTCTCAGTTACTTGGGAGGTGGAGGCAGAAGTATCTCGAGTTCAGAGGCAGCTTGGGCAGTTTAGCGCAGCCCTATCTGAAAGAAAATTTTTTGG